AATTATTTAAGGGTGATATTTGGATCAGGGATTTCTATGCGCCTGCCGAGGGGATTGAACGGTTGGCAAATCTTTCATAGCGAGACGCCGCACCTTTATGTGTATTTGGCGAACCGCAGAAAATGGAAGACTGATACAAAGAGATGTCTCCAGGTGTAGCCCAATGCATGCGCGCACGACGTCCTTTGGTCGTATTCATACATTGTAATGCAAAAAGTAGTATAGCCGGCCTGAGTCGCGAGGAACCCTGTGAGAAACGCTGAAGTTAATGGTTGGACGTGGAACTGATGAATATGGGACACATTTACATTATCGTTGCGATTTTGTTACTGGATTCTATTTTTTTGGAGTTGGGGGAGCCTTTCGGGTGAATTGCATGGGTATGGCTGCTGAGAAACATAAGTGCAAGTGGTCGTCAATGGTAAAGCGATATTCAATTTGAAAATCGGGAATACACGTGGCCCTAATCAATGGGAAAATCTGGACTCGGGCCGGTGAGTCTTCTACCTCTACTTCGACGAGCGTGTTCAATGTCCTTAATCTCTATGGCAGGGTAAGAACTATAGCTTAGTTATCTTACTGAACTGAAGCTAGGCGACTAAAGTTTCATCAATCACAATGGTCTTTCTCAGGCGGAAACCCGCAGCCCGCTCAAAGTCTGGGCCGAAACCATGGCAATTCCAGTCCAATGCTGCTACTGTACTCATCACGGAGAGCATATTTACATATTCGGCCTTTGCGTCTGAACAACGAGGCTTCGTCTCATTGGTCAGGAAAGATCACGCTAAGAGACTCTGGGTAGGAGCGAAGGCTCCCTAGACTTGGTGATGTGGTTTCCATCGTCTCCATAGTGTATAGACACGAGCAAAGCTTAGTCCCAATAGTGTAATGCTTCCCAGTCTTTCTCGTAAAGCGCATCTCATCGGACCCGGCCCTGTTCATCTTTGGCTCATCTCGGTCCCTATTGAAATCGTCCCCATTTCATGGATTGAATTGCAAGACGAAGCTGTGACGAGCACTCTGTTTGACACTTCAGAGGCGATGGTTCTTGATCGGTGACAGGGTGGGCGAGTTGAACACTCAATACTGGACCCCGCGTGTTATCCCTGGTCCAGATAAGGTTCCCTGTTAATACTTTTGGCCTAGTGCTGTTCCTAGCTAAACTCCGGCTATCCCGTCGATTGGAAAGGCGATGCCCACCACACTCCATCGTAAGATAACATCAGTCTTCAATTCATTTGGCGGCGGAACTCCGCGATCTAACGTGATCCCACATCTTGGCTCTTTCACACATCCCTGGGCTGATGACACCACAGCCCCACCACTGTGAGTTCCGTTATCATCGAGCTTAGGACTAGGTTCAATGTCGGAGGCTTCGTCAAGTTCCAAAGACGCGGCACAGACTCGTACTATACAGTACCTTTGCCCATACAGAGCCAATCGAAACTCCTTAACCGGTGTAAAACTTCAATTCTGGGCTTCTTTTGACGCTGTATCACCTTGTATGGCACTTCAAAGTTGAGGTGTGTATGGTTTACTGCTCCCTCATGACTGTGACAGATTGCGATGTTTCTATTCCTTTAGATCTTGATGGTCTATACTCTGGTGCAGCTAGGTCCATTCCCGCTCTATGAGGAACTCGCACAATCACAACAATGTTTTACCCCCCAGAAGGATCTGTATGTCCTACATTCCAAATCCGATTCCGGAAACTAATATGATAGTCCCACCCTGCATCGGACGGCTCGAAATGCACCGATAAGGGAATCGTCCGCCGAACAGACGCTTTCTTATCATCTTCTCATTTTCAACTCTCTGAAGCGCTCGTTCCGGCGTCTCAGCTAACTTTAGGTATGTCATGGATAAATTTATTTATCGCTCCGAGTCTAATTTCATGAGATGTCGATCAGGGGAGCGCGGACCGTTATTCTTAACATACGGGCCTTGGGGAACCTATTTCTGTGGTCGGTAGATCAGGGTCAGTCTTCGTCGGTACGATGTTATTCATAACTGACATTGGACTCGGGCTATTCGTGTATTTCATCAAGGGTATTATTGGCATATGAAATTCAAAGTTCATTCTTAGCAGATAACCGGTTTGTTGATGGGGCCGATGTTCGTGGTATATATAATGACTCATTTATGCTGATAGGCTTGCGAACATCTTCCCACCGACTTCCGACCCAGGACCATGCACGTTGCGCGAATTATTTCTCTTGCGGCGGCTGTTTTCTCACGTCATCTAGGTATGTCTGTCTCCATATGTTACAAGTCTGGTGTATCACTAAATCCAACGCCATCGACCGAAGGAACTGTCGCTTAGTACCCGGCCAACGCCACAGAAATTTAGTTACCGAATGAAAGCGTCACAACCGTTCACCACTTGTCGTTGCGTCCGAACATCGCTCTCAGAATCTGTGGGTAAAGAAACCGAAGGGCGAGCACGGCTCAATGACCGGTAACCGATGTCAGGCTGCCTTTTGTGGGTGACTTCATGCATTGAAGACCAGTTTCACTCAGAAAGGTTACATTGAACAGCCGTTTTCACGTTCATGAGCACTGCCTGGGTGTAGCACATGGAAGTAGCGTCAGTCGCCCTTCAAACAATCACTCTTTGTCACATGTCGCTTATAGGCTCTGGCAGTTTACACCTTCATATAGCATATAGGATCGCTCTAGGACGTCATTAGCGGAGAGCAAAAGGGGGATAAAGTTCTAAAGGAATTGAATATCTTATCTTATCATCTAACTAATGATGACCCTGACTGTAGCGGCCAACTCCGGAGATGCCCTTCCCCTCCGTTTCACCACACACCACCAACTTGGATTTTAAACTTCGTCACATACGCCTGTTCTTGGCATGAATGAAGACAACGTAAGTATACAACATACTACTCATCGGTGCTTGCCTTGGCCAAACCTTGGCACACCGCATTCGTTGAATTAGGTTCACATAGCCCGATGCGAAGCTTCTTGCCAACGCTGCTTCTCCGTGAATTTAAATCATAGCGGAAGAATATTCCATATTGTTACTGATACCTCCATTGTGAGTTTCTCCTCACCTGACGTTCAGAATCCGCTCAATTCACGAACCTCAGAACACAAAACTAGCCCTTGTCTCCCCTCAAAGCGCTTTTCGACACTGTCCATCTAGCGAGAAAATGACGGCTTCTATCCTTCTACAATGTTCGGATGATTGGAGAACTTTGATGAGGTATCATTTGTATTTTTCCCCGCCACTATTGTTTTTGTGCACATGCAACCTAATGTTCCAGGTCTGCGGAAGTGAAGTCGGGATTCGGCGATCTATGTATTTGGCTGTAGAACTGGGTTCATGGTGATTGTAATCATCACTCTGGAAATCTTCGTAGCATGGGCGAATCATCAATACTATGAAGCCCGTAAAGTTTCAAAGCGTCAGTGACGCATCGCATTACGGCTGGTCCTCCGCAGTATCACCTAAAGCAGCGATGGTGCGCGGCTGTATGAAGGTTCTATCACCAAGACTGGAAGTTTGTCTGTCTTTCCGACGTTAGCAAAACATCCTGCATAGTATGTGACTCGCGGTGATAGAAGGAAGAGAGCCAGCGAACGTGAAGGTTTTTCCTTTCCATTCTTCAGATTTTCTTGCTTCGTCGTCCATCTCCCCGCACACCGGCAACCTACCTGAGCTCTTGACGGACAGTCACCGTGTCGTTCCCCAGCGCCATCAATAGTTGAGCTATCAACGGACCCTGCGAAGTATGATGGGGTACACAGGGGCGGGGCTTCTCGTTTTTTATTTATTTATATTGCGTTCTATCTTTAGGGGCGACTGCGGATGTATGTATATTTGTTTCTCCCCCCCTCCGGAATTGAACGCCTTTTGCGGCCCTTATCATCTATTATTGTGCTAGCTAATTTTATTTGCACCTCCAGTTTTGATATTTTCCTTGCGTGGAAGGGACGTCCGGTCCGGTGTGTTGACCTTGATCTCGGAGGGAGTGCATGCATACACTAAGCTGGAAGATGGCCTCGTTATTCCCTTTGAGATCAATTCCGGCGAGAAGGCGCCAGCCCCCTCCGAGTGTAAGTAACTTGTTTCTTTATGAAGGCGGTGTTTTTATGGGAAGTTGTTCATTTACCGTACTAGCCCCTGTTTATTGGTCGAACCATTCTTCTTATCATGGCTGGGGCGACTTATCAATCCTCTCTCCCGTCGATGGACCCCACGGGACACGAGTGTTTCTCCATTTGCGTGAATACTCTCATACTGATTGCATTCCGTAGTTCGAGAGTGGATTCTAGTGCCGTCGATTCCTCGGTGCAATCCTGGCGTTCACAGAGTCGGTCGGCTAACCAGACCAACCTGGGGATTTTTTTACCAGTCTTGTTCTCTCTGGGTCTTTGCGTGTATTTCTTCCGGCACTCTCAGGCCCAAGGATTCATATCTGTTACTCTGCCCGAGATGTGACACTTGGATGAAGTGTAGCATTTATAATGTGTCTAATCCTCGCCCCACGCGTACTGAATGACAGTCCTCTTGCTTACGTTTTGTTATTTCCTTTAGGCTGCGTGGAGGGGAGGGCATTGTCGGTGGTACTGGGACCAGTCCGCCAAATTGATCTACGGGAGGGCGCGGTTACCGTCCTTGCCGGACCATCCGCCTCTGTATTGAAAAAGTGCCTGCCTCTATGGAAGGGGTCTAGTCCCCTAATGCCGGTCAGTCACTGTCGGGCCCGCTTCCGCCCATTTCCACAACGAATGTTCCTCCGAGTGCGTTTACGAAACCTCCTCCCCCACCCACTTATGTATGTATAAGTAATTCGGACCCTATAAACATGTTCGATCTCGCCCACCCCGGGTGTTATTTTAAGGGGATCGGCGTGTGGCGTTTGACGAGCACGGATAAATGTCGCATCGGGATTTCGGGAGTGTGCTCATTTTGAATTTGGGGGATGGTCAGGGTCGGGTGAGAGGGGTGGTCGAGGTAAGATGCATGGTGCATCAGGCATCTGTTATCCCTCTTAGCTCAGTTGGTAGAGCGCGTCACTAGTATAGTCGACCAAAAGCACAATTGATGACGAGGTTAGTCGTTCAAGTCGGCTAGAGGGAATTGCAGATTCTTTACTGTCTCTTTGGTATTTAGTGTTGAGTTTTTTTGAGTCTCGACAGTGTAGCATTCTTTGAAAATGTGTACTAGTATACTAGAGATGGGTTCATCTTTGTAAGTCATTGAGGATAAATTGTTACTGCTGTACATCAATATAAAGAATATTAGATTTTATTATTTCGCGGTAGCTCGTATACAACAGAGTTGGACTCTCGACGTTGTGTATACTTTGTATAGAGTGACGGAGAAAGTGGACGTCACTGGTTGAGCCTACGCCCCCACGCTAAACGCCTCGCCGTTCTATCTGTCGCCAAGAACCTGTTGTCGTAAATCACCGACCAGGCAGATAATCGATCCTTGCTCGTGGCGCCGATATGCGACAGGAAGAGTGGTGGATTCGTGCGATAAGGAAGCGAGGTGAGGGTACGATGTATATCATCTTTCTGCTCGAGCCTTGATCCGGTCTGAACAGGGAACGCCTGGCGAGTGATAGAGCCTCGTCGTTCTGTCTGTCTGTCCCTAAGAACCTCTTGTCGTAACTCATCTGCCCTGCAGATACTCGGTCTTGCTCGGTGAGGGTGCGATGCGTATCGACCCTCGATCGAATCTGAATAATGAAAGCCTCGCCTGTCGCCAAGAAAATTGTATCGTAAATCGTCCAATGAGCGGCGCCTGTAGTGGCGGGTTCAAAGGACGAGGTGCTTCACGTGTTAGGTGCACTGTCGAAGGCTGTAGATAGTGGCGCTTCGGAGTAGGAAAAAAAAACACAACGACTCTCACTTGACCGAGTGGAGATGAACGTGGGCTGGAAGGGCAGGGAATTGATTGTTGCGAGGATCTCGACCAAGAGAGGGAGGTAGGGTTCTTCTGAAGGGGGGGGGGAACGTAATGATATACGAGCCGGGAGATGTGTTTTGGCGAGAGAAGGGGTTGGCGTTTGTGGACGGGGCTATCGGATGCGATGAAGGCGTTGGGTGGGGTTTTTTTTTGTGGGTACAACGTAACGAGGCGCTCGCCCTTGAACGTAAGATGGCGAGGGAGGGACAAGCAGGGAGGGAGGAGGGAGGACGTAATGGTTGGGCGTTTAAGGAAGACGCACGCGAGGGTGGTGGATGGTCTGGTGTGAGGCTGGAGGATTACCACGGGTGTAACGGAGCCGACGGATGTCTGGTGTGGTCATGAGCCACGAGCCACGACGGTGCCGTAGATGAGGAGGCAAGGGGCGAGGCTCCGCACGAGATGGGATAGAGAGAGCGAGATGGGGGCAGAAGGATTTAGCGTGACTTCCCGGGGATAAGGTAGACCGAGTAAAAAAGAAAATGCCAGGGCCCCCAGGGAAGAAAGACTGGGAAATGAAGAGAGGGAGGTGTGGTCTGGACTCTGGAAGGAGGAGGAAAATACAAATGAGAGCGAATAAGAGGAGATGGGAAGGGGAGGATAGAGGGTGGGAGCCAATGGGGTGAAGGGGATGGACGGGCCAATGAAGGAGGGGGGAGACAAAGAGCCAATGGGAGAGTCGACCGAAAAGAGAGGTATTCTCCCGCGGCGTATATGTCGTGCATGCATAATCAGTGCGGCTTCCGTATCTCGACGCGTCCGAACTGGATGTTTCCGTTGATGGGGTACCCGAAAGCAGGGCGTGAAGGGAGGGTTTGATCCATGTGGAATTGATTTTTTTTTCTTGCTGTGAGTGGACAAGGAATGATCACGCGTCGAGTGATTGGTGGTAAGTGAATGACGTCGGTGGAGATAGGGTAGAGGCGAGAAGAAGGCGGGAAGAGAGTCGACCGTCGGACGCGAACATTTGAATTGCGCGCGCTCTTGGGAGGGTTATGTAAACACCCGACGATATCATTGCGGGGTAACGGCATCCCGGGAATTGCAACCATCAACAAACAAAGCAAACAAGGGATTTCTGTTGATGATTCCTAGTTGAGAGTGGGAAAGAGACTGCGCGAAGCCTGGTGACGAAAATGGGTTTATTGCGGGGCGGGCGAAAGCGCCGGGATGGGCGGAGATTCAGATCACACGGCCGGGGGTTACCAAGAGTTGAGGGTACATTGTAAGTAATTCGAAGATCACACGCACGAGGGGGGGGAGGGGAGGGGGGCGAAAAAAAAATAATTAGTGGGTAAAGATTATGGGGGACACGTTGATGGATTGATCCCAGTGCTCCGGTCATTGACTGAGATCGAAAAGACAAATGAGATCCGAAATCGTCGAACCCGATCGCCGGGAGCAATAAGACCGCCACCGAGATGTATTTGGGGATGTTTGCGCGCGGCATGTCGGCAGTGCAATACATACCCAAGGGCTCAGAGGGCGACAAACTTCCCACCTCGTACCGCACCACCACTTACTTTCCAGACCTCTTGTTCTTGCCATGGGACGCCGAAAGATTGAGATACAGCCGATTACTGTGAGTTGCTCGACGCTGGGTGGTGGTGGACCTGGGGCGCTGATGGATTTTTTTTGGGTGCGGGTGTAGCATGAACGCAACCGGTCGGTGACTTTTCTAAAGGTACGTCTGTGTGTTCCCCCATCCCCTTCCTCCCCCCCACGATTCCCAGCGCCATCCTCTGGCCCTCCCATCTTTCTTTAACCCAGCAGTCGCTGCTATTTTTGTCCCGACACGAGACTAATAAAGTTCTTGGCATTTCCCTCTCTTTTTATTTTTGGCTCGCATCGTAGAGGAAGAACGGGCTGTTCAAAAAAGCGTACGAGCTCGGCGTGCTGTGCAGTGTGGACGTTGCGGTGATCATCTTTGGTGCGTGGTCGATTCTGGGACTGCCAAGCGCACTCGGCTGACGCTCGTCTATTTTTAGAGGAACGCCCGGGGCATCATCTGAAGCTGTATGAATACTGCTCGGGGGACACGAGGGATATCGTCCAGAGGCATTTGCGCGTACGTTGTTTGTGCTGGGCTGCTTAGGGGTTACTGACGTCGCACCAGTACGAGGGCGAGAAGGATACGCGTGGGCCAGGCGACTTTTCTGGCGCGGTCAAGATCATCGACGAAGAGGAGGAGGACGAGGAGGAAGAGGTCGTGTCGTCGGTGCCGTCAAAACGCAGGGGCAGCGGGCGGCTGAGACCCGTTGGCGCGGCTGACCTGGGCGAGGTGAGTCAGCGATCCACTCTGCTTTCCGGCGTCGTGCTCGACGATGGCGGACACGTTTGCTCGTTGTTGTCCGCGCTGTCGCCATGGCACTCACGCCCCCATCTTCCCTTCCGTTATCGCTATCGTCACTAACCCACTCCTTCTCCCGACAGCTCGACTATCCCCACCAGCAGCATCACCCGTCCCACCACTCACACATCCCGCCGCCCCCGCCCCGTGCTATGGCTATACCCCCGCCGCCTATCCCCCAGACGCCCATCCAGCAACCATCCACGTCGTCCTCATCCATCCCCATCTCGTCCCTCCGCCACCCCCATCCCAATCCGAATCCCCACAAGAAGCAGCGTCTCTCCCCGCCCAGCGTGTCCGGACCTGGTATGCACAGCCGTTCCTCCTCTGGCTCTGGGTCCGGTGGTGGCGGGGGAGGCGCGGGAGGAGGCGGCGCAGGCCAAGGCGGCTTTTACCCCCCACCCTCCACGCAGTACCACCATGCGCCCTTTTACAGTGGCGGAGGCGGCGGCGGTGGAGGAGGTGGAGGAGGTGGGGGAGGAGGAGGCGGTGGGAGCAACTTCTCCACGCCTGCCCAATTCGGAGGCGAGAGGCGATACGCGGGCTACCCACTCAGTGCATCCATGTCTCGTGGGAGCACCGAGATCTTTGGCCTGTTTGACGACCATGGCAGGCCCGGCTCGTCTAGTGGTACAGCGGGAGCAGGCGGAGGCGCCGGAGGCTTTGATTGGCCCATACATGCTCCGACGAACGCCCAAGCAAGTGCTCCCCCCACACATAGTCCAACCCAAGGCAGAGTCGACGGCGCGTGGTTGGACTTTTTGAGCACGAGTAACGGAGGTCCTGGCGGGAGCAGGCCGTCCACTAGTTGGGAACGCGATACCGGGGCTGGGGGCGATGAAGGAGGTGTCGTTGAGAAGGAAGAAGGGTAGCAGCTACGATGATATACACGATTACTTGGACCGTCCTTTTTCTTGTTCGTTCGCCTACGTTTTGTTTCTTTCGTTGGAGTAAAAGTAACCATGTTATTTTAAATGTAGTTTTTTATAGAGAGTTTTATTGTGGGCGATGACAAAAAACGTGCCTCCTAGCCGACTTGAACGACTGACCTTGTCATATACTTTTAATCAACAATCAAATACGAGTGACACGCTCTACCACTGAGCTAAGAAGGCCACGGGAGTTTGGCTTTCCATACATACACAGCTGCTTCCGTCCCGACATCAAAATATGATTCTCAACTCACATCGCCGATCTTTCAACTCTGCGATGCGATCGATCGCATTTCAAGAGCCAATTGTAAATTTACTGCCTCCGCACATCGCTCCTGCCGTTACACCGGTCAATTTCACTCCCTTCCGTCTTTTCAATTCCACGTCCTACGTCAAGAGCTGTGATCCCTTTGAGAAGACTGATGTGCTGGTTGAATGTAATAGTCAAAACTGTGAACTCATTTACTTTTGTAATTATCGAGGATTCGGATTGTGTATCAAAAAGCCAAAACGGCTGTTGCCCGCAACGCAGAGAAACACAATTCTGCATACTACTCTAATTCCCTCTAGCCGACTTGAACGACTGACCTCGTCATTATGCACTTATGGTTGCGGATACTAGTGACGCGCTCTACCAGCTGAGCTAAGAGGGACGACAGGAGTCGCGTATTTGTTACCCACAAGTATCCGTTCGTAACTAAGTCTTCAGCACGGTCTAATTGCTTCGCTCATCTGCATGAATGCACGCAGTTACCAGGAAGTGAATGAGTGAATGAAGAACCATGAGGCCTTGGTAAGGAGACGTTAAATCCTGGAAAGCCACAACGTTTGAACTGTAAGGTAGGTTGAAAATGGAGAGATGGCCGGAGAAGGAATTGGGGAGGGCGGGCACTCGAAAGAGTCACTAAGAAAATGGGTGATTGGTACTTGTAGCGAGCATCCCGGTCTTTCGAGCAAGCACCTTACTCTGTGCGCTCAGACTCGCCTAAAACAAGTTTCAAACCAGACAAGTCGTCTGCGCTTATGCAGAAGTATAGTGGGTGATCTGTTCAAATTTTCAGATTCCAGAAGCGGAAAACGACAATTGTTTGTATGATATATCCCGAGTTGTTTGTATTTGGGAAGATACCTAGACGGAGAGGTGGATTTCCAGAAAGCTCGCTCCTGAATGGACGTCGGCAGATATAATGACGAGCAGAGAATCCAGTAGCTAGGAAAGAATCAGAAACCTTAACATTGAGATATAGAAGACTTTTATCGACTTCTAGAAATTTTACGTGGGTGAGCATATTTAAGACTGGACCTCCTGGGATTGGCCATGAAGCTTCGAGACCATATGCATGTGGACCTAGGGACTCATTATTTCAATAGTCGTGCGCGTCTTCGAACCTTCTTTCTAATGATCGCCGAACTTTGAAACAACAGGTCCAACGTATGATAGTTCGAATTGTAGTATCCCAGTATTCCTTGTGTCAACGACCAGAAGATGAAACGGGGGTCCCTACCAGTGGCTTCGCGAACTCGGAGGTGCGCCACGGTGAAATCCCATGAAACCGCCCGAGACCCGCTTCGGTAACTAAATGGTGACGCTACATCATTTCTTGACACGGCTTTGTCGCCACCGGACGGGGAGGACGCGTTATAGCTTCTATCTGCGGGACCTATCATTACGACCAGCGTTAAGAAGGGAACGCAGCAGCGTACTAGCTGAATCCAAGTTGGAGGCTCACTGAATAGCGGGCGCCCCGGACATGGAGCTTCCACACAGTTCTCCGATTCTAGATTAGTAGTCGTGGTCAGCGCGTGGAGGAGTAAATGACAGAGCGAACAGAAGAGAGATGGGTAATTCTCTATTGTCCCCGGATCATGACGCTTGTTGGCCTGGGAATCAATTTAATCGTGGTGGTGTGGGGGTTAGTACCGCGAGCGGCGTCAGGATCTGTGAACGCCTCCACTCTTGTCCCCGCGATCGCGATCAGAGAAGGGCCTGGTGGCTTGGAAGTGTGTGGCGGGAGCATTTCTTGTGCTGGATGAGAGCCTGGAAGACGGTCGTATGGATGTTGCAGCATGAGTGTCCCGCTCCCGCTATGAAGCTAATCGGCATGCCGCGGGCAATGTGCGATCTTTCTGTGAGCGCTCGTAGTCATCAGACTGACTAGAGACAGCCGAGGATGGCGTGGTAAGTCTCGCCTCTAGCTAGATAAAGTAGCGTAATAGAGTGCGGGCACCAACGGCACATAGAAACCCGCATACATTCATTGACCAAAACAAAAGACGCGTGGGACAGCGCAGTAGACAGCGACCGCGATTGTAATAGAGTTGCGTAAATGAACGGGGGGCGAGTGACCAACCTTTCAGACGTCATCCTGTTGAAAAGGTACGGCCAGAACGATGAAGTATGCTAGCGCCTTAACATTTAGCACCAAGGGGATGTCGCCTATCTTCAGAATAGGGCGACGAGATTGACTCTGAGTCACAAATAAGCCAAGTCTTTTTGAGTGCATCCGAGTAAGCCGCTCGCTTGTGATTGGATAAAGAGCGATGTAGCCAATGAGAGTTAAGAAGTAGTGATGAGCAAATAGCGTATCATGCAAGTCGGTTCAACCCTTGTTTCTGCTTTAGTTTTTGCAACGGTCAGTCCTACAGGAAACAGGATATGAACTGGCTTTTTCGACGCTCACTAAGGGTGGTAAGAATCCTGAGGTCGTCGTTTGCGATCAACCAGATATCGGACCGAGGCATCTCGGAATTACCCGGAGGACTAAAATTAGATTACCGACTATTCTTCGCTTCGACCAACGCGACGGGACATTGCCCGTCTCGACTCTGTTGATACTGTTCTGAGTATGCGGGCCTTGGCCAAATCATACAAAGCGTATATTCCGCACCTCAAACTCCTGTCGACCACGAAATGAGGGTGGACTTTTCTAAGGCACCATTCGTAAGATTCCTTCAGTCTCTCGGCGTGCTTTTCCTGATAGTAATTGCTCGTGGGCTACCTTCCGTCGCCCGCCTGATGCCTGAGGATTATTATTCGCTTTGTATCGTATGGGTTGCTAGGATTTCATTCTGGACCCTGTATAAAATTGGCCAAGCCAGCGTCGCACCCCTCCGATGATGATGGTTCATTATCCCCCTACTTTCTCCTTCGGGACGTTTCATAAAGAGCCTTATGCTCACTCTCATCCTGCGGACGCTGCTTGAATTTTCCCTATACCCATTCCAAGCTGGTACTGATCACGTACTCGATCGACCGCAGCCTTCCCGATCTCTCCTTTCTCATATCATATTGCATTACTGAGTCTACGTCCCCGCTATCCTTCACCCAGCCAGATGTCCGTAAACACGGTCGTACGTACTACTACCCGCGCTTCCTAATTCTGACAAAGTTTTACAGTACAGCTAAAGGCCTCCTCCTGTAAGGAGATTCTGAACTAGACTAGTCTCAGCTTCAGATTACCCAAGGTCGCAACGCTGATGATTACGCACAGAAGAGGTACCCTAATATCATTATACGGATACCCTCAAACCTATGACAAATCCGCCAAGACGATTCTCATCTGGCTCGCCCATACTCCGACCGGTTTCATGTGCTTGATTCCTTAGGACCGTATTACTTCACCCCATTTCTGGTTCTCGGGTGTGAAATAAAACACTTCACCGGAGAGGTTTTCCCACTGTGTCTTTCCACTGCAGCTCTCGAGAAATAGCGAATCGACGTCGAGTGCAATGGCTAAATAGCATACGTTGAAGGCCACAGCATAGGTGTATCTCACCATAGTCATCGTGACTTCTCAATGGTCCTACGTACTTTGTATTGAATACCGGCGTATTTCTATTCGACCGACAACGAGCGTTATATCCGGAAGTGTGGATACACAACGACTCGGAGCCAGACACGTCTTCTCTGAACTTGCTGTAGTTTCATCTCAGCGGCTGACTCGCAACTGGCAGAATAATTTAGTAGGAACTCACAGGCGACAGTCGGAGTGTGTCTATTTCATCGGACATCTTGCTTCTCGTACAGATGGCGACCATTTCGTGGGATAATAATCTCATGTCATGGGGAGAAACGACGAGAAGCGGAAAATGAAGAAGTCGATAGCTGGTGCGTAACGACGCTATTGAGTGGAGCTTCGTAGACCGCGGACTAGGGCGGGAATATCAAATGCTTCCATCGAGTGCGAGATCAGCGAGGAGCGGCGCCAGACCATACCATCCCAGGGAACAGTGCATGCTGCGTCAAACCATGTAGATGCACAACCACACTCCGCTCGATCAAGAAATCAGATTGAATCGGCATAGCCTCATCCTCGGAGCTGGGAACTGGGGACGAATTCAATGCAGGAGAAATCCGACGCGGCATGTCGTAGTCGCCAGTGCCGACATCGACTCAGGTGGACAGAGAAACACATACCAAATAGATTTTGTTTCACAGCCGTGCAAACCTTGTTTGAGGAGAGATTCCGATTCGGTTCCAGTAAAGGGTTGCAGGCCGGGATCCTCGGTTTATGGGACATACTTGCTGATAATGATAAGAGTCTAATTCCGGAGCTTAACTGAGACGCAACGTATTAGGCTTATTGTAAGACCAGACTGGGTCAGAACCGTATCGGAAATCCGGCGGTGTGACCACTCCTTACCTTTAGGATATTTCAACGAAAATTCCAAGAAATTCTCAAAGAGAAAACAGTGCATACAACGGAGTACAAGTGCTAATACTTCAGGAGATAAACTTTGGTTAGTAATTTGGGTTCTTTCTTCAGAGGACAACTACATAGTCGCAGCATATGTCCAATAGACGGATACCCTGTGGCGGAATCCATATACCATATCGGAGAATGACCCAACCGCCGAGCCCCCCTACTGTAGGACAAGTAGACCGCGTAATTTTGATGCTGTCGTTCTGTTTATAGTACCACATCGACGAATGTAACCTCCTGATATTACCACCGAGAAAACCCATATAGCATATCCTTGATGTTACCAAATAACACGCGAAGCGCGTGTCATGATCCACAAATAATTCCCCTTCTTCGCGAGTTTCATTTTTCCTGTGTTAAATCCTTAGGCTGGAGAGGGACAGGTGCGAATATTACTTACCGAGGCTTGAGTTGCAAGGCATACTAGGATCAACTAGCTCCGGCCCGATTGCGTGGAACTTGAGATACATCAAAGATTAGATCTCAAGATCTCAGGACTAACCATACACTACTCGCTTCTTTCCCTTTGACCACGGTGATAAAAAAACACTTGTGTGACGCTCTGCTAAGTCCATTTTCTTTCTATTTTCAAGCTTTATGGCTTCGCAGCATGTTTTAATATTGGATGGGAGGTTCCTGACCCAACCTAGGCATGCAAAACACGCATATTCTCCTCTGAGTACCCAGACTTAAGATCTTAGCCTAAGTCTTCCTTTCCTCGCGCGAGTCGAGAAATTAATCCACAAATACATAACAGTTGCAGGACCGACCCCGATCACGACCTTTGTATTTTCTCGAGGACGTACGCGCCTGATCAACGGCGCTCTTTTTCCAGGAAAATATTCCTAATGGCTATCTTCATGAACATCCCCTCTCAAAGCTAGCTAGCCCATGACATGTGGTACACTCATAAATCCCTGCGATGAAGAATGATTAGACATATTTGTTTT